GCTTGGGATGGGTTTGCAAAGGTCTGAGTACTGCCAAAGAAAGGCCCAATTATGGCGGGGGAATCGAAGAGCGCCTGGCACTGTTGGTGCTCTAATGGATCCCAGCGGAAGGGTGACGGGAAGAGCTACTCGTCAGTCTGCCAACTATGCCTTCTTGCTGATAAGGACTCTGAAACGGAGTACGTTGGACACAATGTCAGAAACAGTGGTTTTCTGCCATCATTTAAAATTTTGAATCCTTTACCATTGTGTAGTAATTCATTTTATTCTTGTTGCTTTGAAGAGCCTCATTGGCAGTATGTGCTATCCTTAATTTCTGGCCCCTCCTTCACTCTCTCCTTGATGCACTTCAGGTACATCCTCCCAATGAGTGGGATGGGTTATCAAATCTGAAACCAGGGAACCTTTCTGTTGTCATTTGTTAAAGTGTTTGGAGACAATGCAAGAGCAAGGTAATTTGCTTCACAAGCGAGACTTTAAAAAGGTAGATATCTACCTCTGTTGACGTCCCAAGAGAAACTATCCACTTTCACCCCACCCAGCACCCCCATTCACATCACATCCAAGCTTGAGATGTGGACTAATGGCTGTTTTTTTTTTTTGCTATAGTCCATAGGTGAACTTCTCAGCAGGACCATGGCAGAGCAGATCCATCTGAACGGAGTTTGCTCTGGCTCAAAGGGAAAGACAGGCTGAGTTAGAAGCCCGGAACAGGTAGAATGTTCCCTGAAAACAGACGTCTAGTTTGATGACAACAATCTCACACATTCTATTGTGACATCACAAACGGTCTGACTCCACAAACAAATCACTTAGGCCTTAGTACACAGAAATGACATAAAAAAACAATTATCATTGATCTAATCATTGATCTAGGTTTTTGAGGAGATTCTGGTGACGTCTTCAGGATTAACACCACTATGTTTCTTTGCACAGCTGCATGTTTGTGGAGCTCTGTTAATTAGGCATTAGGAACACAGAGAAACGAGCATAAAGGAGAACAGGTTTTGACTTTTCTGCTGGCACCCAGAACACATTTGGGTTTTGCATTTTATCAGACATTCATTAATGGAGGTAAGTAACCTGTCTGCTGGGAGGCTGAGGGGAGATCTAGCACCTGACACACAGAGGATCAGGAAAGGCCGTGTCAACACAGCCTCAACACACTGCATGTGTCAACACAGCCTCAACACACTGCATGTGTCAACACAGCCTCAACACACTGCATGTGTCAACACAGCCTCAACACACTGCCTTTGTTAACATCCACATACCTTACCTGCCCCTGGGTCACACAACCATATTTCATAACCACACTGGAAGTTTGGAAACTTCAGATTTTTCATTCACATCGAATTTTTACAAAAAAAAAAAAAGTGTAATATGATAATTAAAAACACAGGGAAAAAAAACTTGATAAAGAATTTTCACAAACAGAACGATAACTATATATTATTTCTTACTTCCATGTGCTTTCTACCAATGAGTTAACACCAGCTTTTGATAATGATCACGGTCATAACCTTTTAGAGTGACAGGTCTGGAATTAGGGGACCCAGTAAGATGATGGTAAAGATCGCGGCTCCTCTGGGAAAACGGAGGTCCTTGTGCCGGGCAGGAAGGTTGACACTAGGATGAGGGGTGTCAGATAACACCCACAAAATCTGCATCTGCTGACTGAGGTGTTTTGACAGCCAGTCTGCATTGACACCAATCTGGACCACGTTGGACAGCTTAGAATGAATAGTATTTATAAATTTAAATGTTTCACATGCATAATGATTCCCACATGGGAAAACCAGATCATGGAATGACCACTGGCCAGATTCAGATTTATAATTAACATCAATCCAGCTAAAGGGTGTAGGCTCACATGACAGAGAGCCAGAAGGAGACTGTTACTGAAATCAGTGCTGACATGGCACCCCCTAGTGGTGGGCACTGGGTGATGCCCAGCAGGCAAAACATCACAAGAGAAGGGAAAGTAAAGCCTGACAACTGGAGCAGAAAATACATTTCCTCCAGTTCCGGGGAACCTTGAATTTCCCAAAGTCAAATGTACCATTTCAAGCTTTGTCATGGCCCCAGGCCCCAATCAGGTTATTTAGAGAGTGACAGAATTACATCACAGCAGGTGAGGGCACAGCTTCCTGCTGCTTCCTGACCAGCTCTCTCTGCATCTCCAGCTCTGAGTGGGAAACCAGAGAGAAAAGGAAGACAAAAATCAACAGTGACCCCAGGCATCTCTTGGCACAGTGGAGAAACAAATCTTCCTTTCTTATTCCACGAGTGAGACACTGACGTCCTGGCCAGTGGCTCCGGATACCAAGCCCTCAGGCTGTCTGACGTGTTCCTGCTCTGCTCCTCACGCTTGCGTTTGTGACAGACCATCCTGATGACATTAAATGCTACTTACAGCGCAGGCGGCATCACTGACCCGTCACAGCGAATGGCAGCCCAGCATGGAGGGACATGTTCGAACCCTGGGCCCTGCAAGACTCAGGTGCACACACTACTGCCGCTCAAGACGGCCAAAGGAGGTTAACTGCAGTGAAGACGTGAACAGGAGAAATTACAGATTTTTAGACAGGTTTGGCAAAGTGAGAGGCCTGTGTGGACCAGGAGAGCCATGATCCAGGAGCATGAAAGCAGGTCTGCCAGTACCAGGTCCCAACAAGACTGGGACCACTAACAAGAAAATGGTACCAATCAAACGTATTATGGTCATAACCTATCACAATACATTTATAGTCTTTAGGTGCCAAATGAGTTTGGACCTGAGACTAAGGCCTTTTTGGAATCATGCAGACTACTAGCTTGCTAAGCTAATGAGTGTCTGGTGAAGAAACCAAATTTGCTGGTTCAAATTCCCTAGATTCACATCTACAACACAGCTGAAAGGGATACAGATACAAAGTGTTTTCTGGAAGCTGTCTGAAAGTGGTTTGCCCTAGAAGAGCTGTACACTGCTCAGGGTCCTGACTTAAGGAGTGCGTCTTGGCTAGATTATTGAACGTTAACACAATTTGAAACATAGGATGCCTCTTTAAATTCTTGACGTGTCCCACCGGTTCATATATTTTTAGATTACAGGCTCGATTTACGTACGAGTATGAAATACAAACACCAATCCAGTAAAGGGCACTGGGTGGAGGGGGGGGTTGTGCTGTCCTTTGTCCCACAGCGACACCAGCAGACAGACACTGTAAGCCACTGGGGAAACACACAGCAGCACCGCGGGTGTCTGTCTTACATTTATAGCTGCATATGACACTCATCAGTGCTCCCATGGTTTCCAAAACACACACACTTCTCTCTACCCCTATACAGGAAGATTCTCCTGATCTCTATTATCAGTGTAAAATCTCAAGTAAATGAAATAAATTGGGGCCTTCCGCCTCCCTCTAGAGTACACATACACTGATAGACTAATAAATATACTAATATAGCTATACTTGCCCAGTGGAAATATGTACAACCTGACTGCAAATCGTTTTAGAACATGAGGGAACTGTAAAATGTCACTGAAGTTCCGTTTATAAAGGGCGAAAATGAACAAGCTACGATGCACTAGACTTAGCGAATGCTGGGAATTATTGGCGCAGGCCAGCGCAGACTGGTTTTAAAGCAGCTGGAGATGGTTCTCCCCTTTGGCTTGGGTTTGAAAAGATCCGCAAAAGGTTCTCGGTTCAAAAGTCCAATAAGAAACTAGCAGCATGCGATAAAATGGTATGTCGGCCCGATTAGACGAAATCTAATTTGATTCGGGGTTGCTGGGATGATGCCACTTCCACTTCTGTATTTTGAAAAGCACGGTTACCACCTGCTCCCCCCTCATTGAGAACTGCTGGGGTTCCGCAGAAGCAGGGTGGGGAACATGTCATCTAATGGATATGCATGAGAGACTATGGAAATCTCAGAGCTTTTACATCAAGAGATTAGACCAGTGTTTTCCAATCCGGTCCTTGGGGACCCCCCCAAACAGTCCATGGTTTTTGCCCTTTCCTAGCAGCCTAGTTTTTGCTGGGAGGGGGCAAAAACATGCACCATCCTGGGGACCCAGAGGATCGGATTGAGAAACACTGGATTAGATGGCCAGTCTGATAAACAAGAGCCAGAAGCCAGTTAAAACAGAAACCCAAGATTCCAACACACTCCTGGGAAAGGAGGACACACTGACACTACCTCAGCAGTCAGGACATTTTATGGGTGTAATAAAACAATGAAAACACCTAATATCAATATGCAAATATAAGTCTAATAAGTAGCATGGCAACCTTACCTTCAGAGCATTTTTAATCCAGCACTGATGCACAGAGATGTGGATTACACAACCCCAGTTAGATAAGATTTACTCCTTTGGAGCTTTTGAGAAATGTACCCTCATTTAAAATTAATTATGTTAATTAATTAATGACCCAGGACCACCGCTGGCAATGGAATCAAACCAGGCAAACAGATGATTAGAAATGAGCTTTGAGCTGGAAAGAGACACGGTATCCAGTGTAATCCCACAAATGGGTGCCCTGTAGCTGAAGGCCTGTAAGACTTGCAGATCAGGAGACGTGCTGTTCAAACTGCTGGCAAAATTATTATAACTGGAAATATAATATAGTTATTATATTATAACTGCACTGCAGCACCATGGCTACATTTCAATCACACCACTGCATTTCCTCGTAGGATGCGTGATAAAAAAAAAAACACCAAAAACACACACACTTGGGACTTAACTCAGACCATTACGAAGGACCCCACTCCCGCGTGGTTTATGCGAATCCCTGATGTTCCACATGTAGATAAACAGAGTGTGTGTGCGCTCATGTTATTTACATTTTCAGGGCCATGTAAAGCACGGCAAGTAGCAAGGAACGGCTCACACACTAAGGGTTATTAAACAAAGTCTTTCCTGTTATGCTGACACTTTGGAATTTAGTCAGAAGGAAAGAGTTTCATCCGGAAGGACCACTCCTGGCCAGTCAAACATCACACAGAGACACTTTCAATGTTTGTGTACTTTTTTTCCCCGTTTGTCATTTTCTTTAGACTGGTCATACGGAATGATTTATTCATTATCATGGCAGCATAATAAACAATGAACATTGATAGCACGCACAGTACTTCAAGGCCTCACCGCATGCACAGCTCTCTATGTGTTCACAGGTACACTTGGAACATTTTACTTTTGTTGCTCCAGCAATCCTTTGGGTGTTTTTTTTTTCCCCAATTTTATTTTTGTCGTCCATTAAATATATTTGCGTTACGAAACAAACCCACGTATTGTGTGTGTGTATTGTGTGGATTGGTCCTCCCCCACACGGTGCAGAATTCCCGAAGGAAGGGGGCGGGGGAATGGGCGCTCCATTTCAGGACTGGTTTCCATTTTGATAAATGTGATTATAGAGAAGCCTGTCTCACAAGCCGGGGGAGGGTAAAAAGCAGATAAACAAAAACAAAAAAACGACTTTTAAAAAAGGAATAAAAACAGTCTGTGGTGGGAGGGGGCACGGCCAAGGGGAGGGCGGAGACTGGTTTGGAGGCACTTTGGCACAGCGAAGGCCTCACCTCCCTCACACGCAAACGCACGCCTTGTGTGTGTCCGGGGGCAAGCGCACTGCCAGGACTGGCCCCACACAAGGAATGGGGAGGGTGGGGTTTCCGGGAACGACAAGGTGTAAAAGAAAAGGCCAGCCTTACCCTCATCCTTGCCATAGGGTGAGAGAGAGAAAGAGAAGAAAGGTGAGGAAGAAAGAGGGAAACGGAGGGGGGAGGAACGGAGCGGGGAAGATGGCCCGAGATGTGCTACACAACAATAATGGGGGGGGGGGCGTGGGTGGGTCTAGAACTTAATAGGGGTAAGCGTGAGGTTTGGGGGAGTCTACAGTCTCAGAGTGCTGGTATGGATCCGAGGAGCGGACCCCCCAGGGAGGCAGGTCTCCTCACCATCCTCCTCCAGTGGCCCCACCCTCCCAGAACCCGTGGCCTGTCCTCCTCACAGGTAGAGCTCCTTGGACATGATGTGCTGCAGCTTCTCCCTCAGCAGCTGAAAGCTGGGCCGTTCCACTGGGCTCAGGGTCCAGCACTGCTTCATGATGTCGTAGACCACCAGCGGACAGCCGTCCGGGGCGTCCATCTTGTAGCCCTTCTCTACCCGAGGCACCACCTCCTTCAAAGGCTGCAGTAGGGGGAGAGACAAGTGGCAAATTGACTCTCACGCCTTGCCAAAGCGGCTCATTTTACAAACTACAGGCTGTACAGGCACCCAGCGGGGAATCAATGCTGACTGCTATGGCTGACATCCACCCCCTCTAAGAAGTTCTGCTGCAGTGACCAGCTAAGCAACACAGCTCCAACCAGAGTTGCAAAATTCTGTGAACTTTCCACAGTAATTAACGGGAATACATGGGTAATAGTGAGAGTAAACTTGGAAATTTGCAAAATTATAGGTTACCCTATAACAGGGAATTAAGATGTAGTTAATAAAAAACATCTTGATGGCACTAATACCATTGTATAACTAAGCGCTTGTGAGTAACTATGTGTGACTAAAAACACCCCAAAGTAAGCATCTGCATCAAAACTTACTATTTGTAAGTCATATTCTATGTTGCATTATTCATACAGTTTATTTTCTTTGCTGTATCTGACAGCTCGCAAGTTCCAGGTGTTCAATATTTTCAAAATTCACCAGCTTAAATTCCCATGGAAAGTTTCTGGAAATTTTCCACCCCTTTGCAACCCTACATCCTAGGGAAAGGAGTCTGGAAAGTCTCCAGAAATTTTCTGCCCCTTTGCAACCCTAGCTCCAACTCCATCCCTTCAACCTCACTCACACTGTACCATAGAGGAATGATAACTAAACTGATCATTATATGACATGATTTAACATAACCAGCAAAGCAATCTCTAAGCACCCTGCCAAAGGCTCCCATCATATGCACACCATCACTAATCACTCATTATTTAATAGACCAAGAAAGCAATTGACCAATAAAGCAATAGAGCAAGGCTGCCCTCTTATGGAAGGATGGTGACAAATTCCATGGGAGGGAAATGGAAGCAAAAGCCTAGGATACCGGGCAGGTGTACTCACAATTCTGGGGTAAGGCACACGCCCAAAGGAATAGATTTCCCACAGCAGGATGCCATAGCTCCACACGTCCGATTTGGTGGAGAATTGCTGCTTGTAGAGAGGGAGAAGTTACATGGTAAAGTGAAACACGAGGCCTGGACAGACACTGATGCATGGATACACACACATGCCAACAGCCCATGTACCTTCTCCCTGAGGGCTTCTGGTGATGTCCACTTCACGGGCAGCTTGGCCGTGTCCTGCGTGGAAGACGCCTCCTTTGTCAGGCCGAAGTCGCTGACCTTGGCGATGTTGTCCTCAGACACCAGCACGTTCCGGGCGGCCAAGTCTCTGTGCACAAAGTTGTTGGCCTCTAGGTATTCCATGGCCTCGCACACGTCCCTGGAGGATGGAGAGAGAGAGCGCTATGAGATAGAACAGGCAGACCACAGGCACACAGCGCAGACACATCAGACAGGACCGGTACAACGACGCCACTCACAGGGAGAACTTGAGTAGGCATTCCCCTCCCAGCACGGTGCGCCCTCGCGAGCGCAGATAATCCACCAAGCTGCCCTGAGGACAGATCAGCACAGGGTTACGGTCAATCAGGGGTTTATCACAGAGTACAAAACAGGGGACACTATGGATGGGACACCAGTCAGCTATAGCTCAGCGTTGCCATTATCAGCTCATGGACGGTTTAATCTGCACCCGATCATGACCTGGTAGGTGGCGTGCGGAAGACAGAGAGGATGAAGTCTTGCCCACCTTGGCCATGTACTCCGTCACGATGAAAAGGCCAATTTCCTCGATGATCACACCCAGCAGCTGCACCAGGTTGTTGTGACGTAGCTGCCTGCAAGGTGGAGAAGTAGTCGGCGATAGTTAGCTCACTGTTAACACGGCCATCTCTCACCGCCACATCTCGGCCTCTGTCCCAACTTTCCATGTGATGCTGCTGCATAAAAGGTAACTGATAAATCGGTAGAAAGCTTTCTTCCTTCAAACAATCAAATGAAAAAAAAAAAAATAATGGAAAGGATAACTTAAAAATGGAAAACAAACTCACGTCATGACAGAGGCCTCGGCGATGAAGGCCTGTGCCGTTGCGTCGCTTTTGATGCACTTCACTGCCACCTTGGTCCCTCGGTAGTCGCCCACCATCACATCTGAGGAGTGAGAGGTGCTCAGTGCCGTCCTGATCTCTCTCACACACACACACACACACACACACACACACACACACACACACACACACAC